ATTCTTTTCAGATTGTTGTTCGAACTATTATTTTCCCTAGTTCATTCTTCTTTCACCAAATCTATGATTTCAGGCTTAAAAATTACTTGACTTCCTTTAAAGGAGGATATAAATCTAAAGAATGATCTTGATAATAAACCAATAACAATTTTTTTTCAGAATTGATATTGATTCTGGAGTTTAATTCAACATATCATCATGAAGTTAATAACATGACTACTTTCCATGAAGTGTTTTCTCTTCATTTTTGTACATTTTAAAAATGCTTAGCCTTTAGGATGAGTTACTTGAACTTTTTCAACTGACCTACAGTGTATAAAAGATTGACTTTACAAACACTATAGGCAGATAGAGCAACAGTAGATGGATGATGATGGTATAGATGATTATATAGAAAGAACTTCATTTTAGTGGTGCTTTATTTGCAACAGAAGGTATATTTTAAGGTTTACAATAGATGTTATGATACTAAATTGAAATCTTAGCATCTGTGTACAAGGATTTTTCTCATTATGTTATATTTCCATTAGCTGTTAAAATTGTAAATGGCTTACTTATTTGTGGTAGAGGGAATGTATGACAAGATTCAATGGAGCATAATATAGTAATTCAAGACCACTTGTCTAAGCATAACTAACCAAGATTCTACTTGTATGGAAACATAAATTGAGTATGTTTTATGTTGAAAATTAAGAGAGTAGAATGAGGGGGGTAGACTTCACTTTTTAAATAATTGGATTAGTGGTTTCTTGCTAATTTTTTTTTAATCCAAAATAGAAGAGAAGGGGGAAATGGCCCAAGGAATTTTTCCCATATATTCATACCCTGAACAGAGTTGTAGGAGTGTGTTCCATGAATCCTGGAAACTACTTTTACCACATAAGTTTATGAGTTCACTTATGAGAGGTTATTTGATAAATTACCTGTCTGTTATACATTAGAAATATACCTTTAAAAGATGCCACTTTAGAGCAAACACTAGAAATTATAATCTCCCAGACATTTTCTCTTGTAGGGACCCTTACAAATTTGTTTTTTTAATTTAATTTTTATTTTATTAGTACGTGTTAACAGTACATGAAGTTTACATTCGTCTTGGGGAGTAGGTGCATGTACATAACACAACTTGTTTCTTTTTTCATCCTCAGCCCCTTTCCACTCACTTCACTCCCTCTATCTCTAAATCGCCTTTCCCCATTATCATTCTTGTTATTATTAACTCATGTTTATGACATCTAATGTTTAAATTCGCTGAGGTTATTAGGTTTCCATAAATGGCATATCTTAAATATTCTTACTTCCCCATCTCCTCCCCCTATCCCCACATGCTGGGTCTCTGGGATCCCTTGCCATGTGCAAGAGATCTATCCCATTGTTTCCTTCTATTCATCCATTGTTTTGCTCTGTTTATACTTTGTCTTACTCAAGTGAATGATACCAGACAGTATTTAAGTTTAAGCTTTTGTGTTTGATTTATTTCACTCAACATTGTATTTCTCAGTTACATCCATTTTCCTGCAAATGTCTCTAATTTATCCTTCTTTATAACCTAATTTGTATTTCTCAAATTTGTTTCTCTTTCTGGTTTTTAAATTTTTTTTAATTTTTATTTTTTTGGTACTGGGGATCGAACTCGGGTCCTTATGCTTGTGAGGCAGGCAGTGGAACCACTGAGCTAAATCCCCGGCCCTCTTTCTGATTTTAAAAAACGAAATTTCTTATTCCTTTTAAGAGTAAATATGCATTCAGCACTTTAATGATTGCTAATTTATTTTACACATAACATTCTGAAAAAAATTTTTCCACTGTAGAAATATTCTTCATTCTTTTTTTTTTTTTTTTTGGTACTGGGGATTGAACTCGGGACCTGGCGCTTGTGAAGCAGGCAGCGGAACCACTGAGTTAAATCCCCAGCCCTGTAGAAATATTCTTAATATACAGATACATGGGTGATCATTTCCCAACAAAATTATATAAATTTTATAACTTCATTCAAATTTCTACGTGTGATTACAGGCCCCCAAAGCCACTGAAGAACATAAATAACATAAATAATAAACATAAACATAAATAAGAAGCCCTAAAATTTTCAGTTAGCTATAATGTTTTAAATAAAATACTTTTTTCATTTGTTATAAAAAATTGAATACCAGATACAACCAATTTTTATTTTTCATAAGATGAATAATCTATATATAGATTGCATACTTAATATATGACCCATTCCTGTACCTTTTGTTTTTTCTGTAAAAATTTGTCCACTAAGAAAGTTAATAAAAAGTATTATAAAAAGAAAACTGTTCCACCTTCAAGATTTTTACCATTATTTGAAAACAGGAAAAATTATTATAAAGCTCTTACCTTCTTGCCACTCTGGAAATATTATATTTATCAGATTTATTTTACTTTTGTTTTTCAGTACTGGGGATCAAACTCAGGACCTTGCACTTGCAAGGCAGTCGCGGCATCACTGAGCTAAATCCCAGGCCCCTTTACTTTTTTTTGGTACCGGGGATCGAACTCTTGTCCTTGCGCTTGTGAGGCAGGCGACGGAACCACCAAGCTAAATCCCGGGCCCTCCGGCCCTACTTTTTAATATAAAATTGCAGTGTCTAAAATTTAGCTGACCATTGACCTTTTTGACCAGAAGTTCTATATATTGTGGGTTGTAGTTTTTAATTTCCTAAGGTATAAATATATGATATTCAGAGAAACTGAAATATATGTAATTTCTATGTCATCCTTCCCTGGAGGGCTCCATTTGACTTCATGTCAGAATTTTCTAGTCCGAAAAGTCATTTCATTAATCATCACATTACTGAAATAGTTCTCTGAACAGGTAAGGCATAGTTTTACTGCGTTGTTCTTCATACATTCTCATATACATTTTTTCATCAAGTCCAGTAAGCTTATCTTTAATAACTTTTGTACAATATATCTCTTCTTTACCATTTCAGCCAACAGTGAAATTCAAGTCCACATTTGGTTAAAAATACAATGTGTGTGTAGCCAACAAATGGAGCTATTACCTCAAATGACTTTTGTATCCAATCAGAATTTGCCATTATTGCTGGATTGCTCTATGATAACAATTAAGCTGATCATAAACCTTTAGATAGCCATGATTATCGAGTAAATATTGTCTAAATTTGATTAGCAAGTATTTACAGATCTCCTTACCCCATAATAGTCTATCCTCTTATCTTCCTATTTTATGTTCCCCTCATAAAACCATTAAGACGTTTTACTCATTTGTTCTTAAATGTGTCATGTATTTCAATTTCTGTTTTTTCATGCTACTTACTTCATCTACTACCATGACTTCTCACCTTAGTATGTATTCATTCATTCATTTGTTCATACTTTCATTCATTCATTCAGCCATGAAACAAGTGACTCCTTTTATAGTTCTTATTTTCTAGAAATAGGCATATGTTGTTTTGCATAGTTGTATTAATCAAATAATCATTTAAGGGCCTGCCTTGTATAATACATGCATTATGCATCATAGAAGAGGTGAAAATTAATAAAATGGAATTCTTTCTTCAAAATTTAGTAGAATAATGAAATATTTAACTAAAATATTTAATTTTTAATGTACATGTAAAGTCTTAACTAGATTTTAAGTCTCTTGGGGCCAAGTGTTGTCCATGTAATTTTCTATTAAGATTGTTCAACATAATATTTGTTTACAGTAAGTGGTCTAATGAATATTTGGTGGTGAGCTGGTTATGGTGGTGCATACCTCTAAACCCAACTACTTTCAAAGTTTAGGCAGAAGGGTCACATGATTCCAAGAGTTTGAGGGCAGCCTGGGAACATAGAAATACTCTGCCTTTCCAAATATATACATATATATGTATATTTTATTAAGTATATCAGGAAGTTTTCAAATAGTATTTATTTTCACAGGCATTGTATCCATTTGAATTGTACTTGTTTTTCAGAAATTGGTTTAAGGCCAGGTTACATGTGAGGATATTCAATAACAGTAATCCATATTTCTATGGTAGTTGCTACATATCAGGCACTGTTCTAAAGGCTAGATATAATAACTCTACTAATCTTCATCCCCTCACTTCAAGCCTGTGACTTGAGGAAATTTCTCAAAATCCTCTAATGACTATCTATCTTATTTAGAATAAAATCCAAATTCCTTGTACTGACACAAACAGCCCCTATGTGTTTATTATCTCTGATTTTTTCCTTTTCATTTATTTTAATTTTTGTTAGTACAAGTTTGAAGTATATAATTATTATATTCATCATGGGGAGTTGGTACATGTACATACATCAATTTTTTTCATCCCCTCCTCCTCTGCTCCCTCTCTCCTTAAGAAACCCAAAGTATAAAGAGCAAAATAGAAGATAGATAATAGGAAACAGGGAGGTAGATCTTTTTTCTGCAAAAGGGAATTTCAATCAAGCCATTAGTTAAAGGGAATTTAAATCAGTCTGCTATTCCTTGTGCATAGAACATTCTTCCCTAGTCCTTCAAATCCCCTTATCAGAGTCTTTACCTAATCCACCTACAGACGGTTTTCTTTTATAGCATTTGGTCCTTTGTGATATGTCTCTGTTTTTCTCCTGAAGCCATAAACTCTTTGAGAAAAGCAGTACGTTTTTGTTCTGTATTTTGAACAACTGCCTGGCATAGAGTTGGTACTAAGTGATGCTTTCAGAACGAATAAATGAATTTTCCCAAGTATGGCAGAAGTAACACGTTCTTGTGACTGCGTAGTTATTTTTAAACAGATTTGAACTCGGGTTTTATTTTCTTATCTAGACAAATCACATATGCCTGAAACAAAAAAAAAACAATGAAAAGTTCGGCACCCAAGGAAACAACTTTCAACTAAACTATGGAGAATATTGCGAAAGGATTTATCCGGGACAGGCAGGGTAAATCAAAAGGGTAAACCATTTTCGCGGAACACAGATGACTAGCTGACAGCAGCAGGGTTAAAGCGACTACACGAGGGCGGAGAAACGGCGAGAGCGCGAAGCATGAGGGGTGGGGCTGGGCTTCTGTGAGCGAAGTAAAGTACTGTTTTTTCCCTCTGCGCTTTCCGTGAGAAAAGTTGGTTGGAGAGGGTCAAAGAGATGGCGCCCTTTAGAGTAAGTGAAAACAAACTTCTTAGTGTGTTGGGGGTTTTGTCGTTGTTGTTTTGGTGCCCTTAATGTTCCAGTAACTGTAGAAGGGATCTTCCTAACTTTTCAAAGGAGCACCACGAGAAGTGGAAGGTGGAGGCACGGTTGTAAGAGAATTGAAATCATTAACCTTTGAAAGCTCAAGATACCTGCCTTTCCTCTTTACAGTTATCTCTGCTGCTCTCTCCTTAGCCCCCTGTGGTTGACTGTTTATACAGTGACTAGGTACAAACCGGGGAAACTCGTAGGCGAAAATGGCCGTTCAGGAAATGAGCTGCTGTAACAAAGGCAAAAGGATCCTTGGCATTTGTCTCGCTGTACAGGGCGGAGTTTCTTGACCCTGTGGAAGGGCTTTGTTCAAACATTTGAGTGAAACAGTCCAGGATAGAGACGTCCAGAATCTCTGCTGGTTTATACCTAGTGTTGCTACTCTCAGTGTTCGAATAACCGGTACCTTTTGAATTTTATAATGAGAAATGTGCTTTTCCTTAGGAATCCGGTTACCGGAAGTGACTCAGCTGGGTGCTTGCGGCAGTTCCCTAAGTAGATTTCAATAACTAGAGCCTATATATATTTACGTAGCGCCTTTTTAGTGTAAAATGTTTTGCTAGGCTTGAAGGAGATACAAATGTGCGTAATTCAATTCAGCCAGAGTTGACTTTAAGTAGGTTCAGTATCCGTCATGATTCGCCATTTTCACTTCATTTATATCGTTCTTGTGCTCACACTTTATCACATTTATTACAACACCCTTCTAACTGGTCTCCACCGCTAGCTTGCCTCTCATGGAATTCATTTTCCCATGTGCGATCCAAGTATTTATACCAAAATGTAAATCTGATTTTGCACATCGTTTACTTAAAAGCATATCTGTTTTGCATTATCTGTCCTCCGGTCAGATTAACAGTATTACCCCAACCTGCCTCGACTCTAGCTTCACCTCCTAGCACTCAGGAACGTTGTTCAGTACTGAAATACTTGCTTCACCCCTCAATGCCTTTTTACCTGGCTGAAGTGCCCTTTCCCATCCTTATCTAGTTACTTTCTATTCATAGTTTACTCATCTCTCAGATGTTTGTGTAGAGCCTCCCCATTGTCCAAGCACAAAATGCCTTTACAAGGGAGTGCCCCTGGACTCACGGGGCGAATTTAAATACTTTAACTCTGCTTGTTCTCAGAGAACCCTGGGCATAATCTTAGGATAGTATTTCTCACATTACAAATGCTATATACTGTACTTTTGCCATCCTAAAAAGTTTCTTGAGGACAGAAATTATACCATGTTAATCTTTGTATCCTTAATAGCTAGCATAGGACTGACATGTTGGGAACTCAAAAATTTTAAATGAGTAAATAAGTGCTCAGCAATGAGTCTAAAGGAGATTAAATTTTATGCAACAAATAATACAACTGTTATTTAGAATAAGGGAAGTGACTTACAGCAAGAGAAGTTCAAAAGAGAAGGAACTCACCCCGTTTTGAAGAGAAGAAAAGCTTCCTGAGCAAATGCAGACAGAAGAAATGATCAGTGGTTAAATGCAAATTAGAATAGTATGGTATTAGTGAAGCCCAGCAGAGAGAGTTGAAGTATTTTTTTTTAAGGACTGGGGGTTGAACCCACTGAGCTACATCCCCTCCCTAGCCCTTTGTTTATTTTTTGAGAAGTCCTTTGATTTGACCATTAAGTGCCTGTTGTAGCCAGGCACTATGCTGGAACACTATAGATGTTAGTTCACCTATTATGAGGACAACTGTATGGGTAGACATTATTTTACAGATGAAAAACTGAAGTTTAGAGAAGTCAAATAAATTTCCCAATGTCATAATGCTAATAAAAGCTGAAGTGATATAAAGAAACATAAGTCGAATAATAAAGATCTTAGATTACAAGAGGCTAAACAAAGAATAAGAGATGGAGAACTAGCATTCATTTAGCACCTACTTTGGCTATTTGTTTTACATACTGTATTTTCAATTTAACCCTCTTGATGGCCTTAATGTATGGGTAATATTTTACAGATTTAAAAAACTGAGACTTAGAAAAAATTCTTGTTTGGAGTCACATACAGTTGTAATGGAAGAGCTGGATGCAATCACAGGTATATTTGACTGGAAAGTCTTTTCACTATTCTTTGGTTCCTTGGGAAAGGAGATATATTCTTCAGAGAGGTTTAGTGCTGAAAGGGGGGAAAGTCTTGGGTTAGGGTAGCGAATTGCAGAAAAGATGTCTTTTAATTTAAAAAAGGACATTTTTGTTTTGAGGTCAGATCTAATTTATTTGTTACTTAAACATCCTTATTTTTGACTAGTCTCAAACTTGGAAGTAGAAGCTCTCAGAGAGGACAGCCTGTGCCTCTTGCCAGTTTGTCCCTGACATTTTTCTTTGGCTTCCTTCATTCTCTTGGCCAGAAGTTTAGCATATTCTGCAGTCTCTTCCTTGTTTCTCTTAGTATGCTGCTTCTTCAGCACAGTATGATGGCATTTGTCTTGACACTTGAAGTAACAAGACTCTGAATCTTGGGTGCTTTGGTCCTGAATTTCTTGCCTTCCTTGTTTAAGGGCTTTCTGACAACATATTGGTGGACATCGTCTTCTTTAGAGAGATTGAAAGGTTTGCAAATTAAAAGCATCACACCACAGTGATATATGAACACACACACACACACACACACATATACACACACGTTTTTTTTTTTGGTGTGGGGGGGATCGAACTCAGGACCTTGTGCTTGCAAGGCAGGCAGCAGAACCACTGAGCTAAATCCCCAGCCCTGAACACCTATATTTATAGCAGCACATGTAATAGCTAGATCTTGGAAATACCCCAAATGCCCATCAACCAGTGATTGTGTAAAGAAGATGTATTTTTTTAATAAAATGGAGTACTACTCAGCCATAAAGAAAGATAAACTAGAGTCATTTATAGTTAAATGGATGCACCTGGAGACCATACTCTTAAGTGAAATAAATAGGACACACTATAAATACTGAATTATTTCTCTGGTGTGAGAAACAAAGTGTAAATGAGGACTAAAATGTATAATGGGTATTGTGAAATTGGAAGAAAATGTTCAAAGGGGGAGAGGAACTAGGGAGGGGGGCGAGGGAAAGGAAAGAAAAAAATGAGAAAAGAAGAAAATAATGGAAACAAAGCTGTAAATAGGGAGGGTTGGAGGGGTGGAAAGGAGGGAAGGGGAATGGGAAAATAATAAGAACCAAGGTATATCATGTACAGGCACAAATTCCCTATGATGAATGTGATCATAATGTACACCTAAATTGTACCAATAAACTCAATGAATTTAAAAAATGGAGACTTGAGCAAGTTTTAAGACAAGGGAAAATGTACCGAGCTAGTATAGAGGGAAAAGTAATAGTAATCACAGCTATTATGTTATTGAGCATATCCTATGAGTTAAGTATTTCACTAAGTGCTTTATATGAATTTCCTCATTTATTTTTCACAGTGGCACTATGAATAGATCCTGTTTCTAATCACCTCTTCATAGGTAAGGAAACCAACACCTAAAAAGGTTGAATTACTTGCCCAAAGACAGTAGTAAGTGGTATAGCTAGATCCCAAGTCACATGGTTTGAGCCTAAGTTCTGGACTCTTAACCACAGAACCTGGACTCTTAACAATATATAATAAAGAGGTGGTAAAATCAAGAGGACAAATGGCGGGATTAGCTTTGGTAAAAAGGAAACACACTTGGCTTTGGAGGCCAGAGTTGGTGGGAGGAAGATGAAAAAGGTACAGAGAGATTTTGAAGAATAGAAGAGGAATACTGAAGGAGCTCGCATTGGATGCCTGTGTCTTCTTAGTGTAATGTCATCTGCTTAGTGAGGAAAAGTAGAATATAGCTTTAGGAGTTTAGGAAAGAAAAACGTTGGACAAGGGCATTGTAGGAACTTCAGTAAGGCATCATTAGATATTGAATAAAATAATTGCTGAAAAACAAATGCCCAGCTAATGTTATATCTCCCACTGTCACTCTTTGCAGCAGTGCTTACAGCCCAAAGGAGGAAAAGGAGTCAGTGGAGGTGCTCATGTGCTGAGTGTTGGTGAGGTGGGAATGATAGATCTAGGAATTTATCCAAATAGTTGTTCATACTGGATAAGGAGACAAAGAGAATGGAAAGGATGGCCTAGGGTACTAGGAGACTGTCAGGAATAGTGAGAAAGAAGAGTCAGTTTCAAGAGATTAGGAAAGGGGAAAGGGCATTCAGTTTTAATCAGGGAAATTTACAAGCATTTAGAATCTTGGAGGTGAAATAATTTCTAATGATTACAGGATAAAGTGTAAGGTAGTTACAGTAGAAATTGCTAATTGGTTTGGGGATGTAGGTCAGTGATAGAATTCTTGCCTAACATCTCAGTATAGGGAGGGAGGGAGAGAGAAAAAAAAGAGAAAGGAAGAGGAGGGAAGAAGAGGAGAGAGAGACAGACAGACTGACAGAGGGAGAGAGACAGAGGCAGAAACAGAGACAGAGAAATTGATTCCTGGAGCTCTTGGGAGTCAAGGTATCCAAAGTTCATTTTGTATTAATTTTGAAGCCCCAGAGTTTACTAACAAGAAGTGTAAGACAGAACAATCTTGAAAGTTGGTGGGTGACTGTGAAAATAGTTAATACACATCTTGAAATATAAGAATTCGTGAGCAAATGTGATGGTGAAGCACTGGTGTGGAATTAGTCTTTAGGAGCAAGGACCGTGATGATCTCTCCTCCTGTCTTCTTGAATCAAAGAAAATAACTAGAGGGCTTACCTTCATTAAAAGGAATGGGAGAAGTGTAGTAGTGTCAAACAAAAGTCACATTGCATTATTCCCAGAGGCTCAGAGTGAGTTCTAGGAAAATTTGGGTCCTGAAAGATAATTTGTTCATAGTTGAATACCTAATATGAAAATGTGTCTACCATTTATTGAGCACTTCCTGTGATTCAGGCATTGTGCTAACTTATCAATGCATACTATTTCATTTAATTCTCACAAAAATCTTGTGAGGTAAGTAATTTTATTACCACAAAGAATAGAAGTGTATCAGTAATGAAATCAAAGCTTCAGTGATAGAAGTTGTAGCCAGAAAAAATCTTGGTCAGTTTTTGATTTTAGCTATTATGAGTAGTGATAAATTCATAGTGTGTCCATGGCATTGGTAGTTAGGACTCTTTTGAGATTATATTTTTTTCCTTCCTTCTTCCCCCAGCTTTATTTGTAATTAGCAAATAAAATTTTGTGATCTTGGGGCCTGGGATTTAGCCCAGTGGTGCCCCACCTGCCTCACAAGCTCAAGGTCCTAAGTTCGTTCCCCAGTACCAAAAAAAAATTGTGCTTTTAAGGTATAAAATGTGATACTTTTATGTACATATATTTTGTGAAATAATTATCTTAGTCAAGTTGGTTTACGGGTGTCACTTGACCATGCAGTATATTAGATCCTCTAAACTTATTTTATAGCTGAAAGTTTGTATACAGAATTTTTTTGTTTTGTTTTGTTTTACTTATTTATTTATTTTTTGGAGACAAGGCCTTAGTATTTGTTCCAGGCTGGCCTTGAACTCACTATAGGCCAGGATGGACTTGAACACTCAGCAATCCTCCTGCCTCAGCCTTCTGAGTGCTAGGATTACAGGTATGCTTCAGCATGCTGGGTGTTTGAATTCATTGACCAACATCTCCCATCCCCATAACTATCATGCTACTTTATTTCTATGAGTTCAACTACTTTACATTTTGCATGTAAGTGAAATTATACAGTTTTTGTCTTTCTCTGTCTGATTTACTTCACTTAGCATAATGCCCTCAAGATTCAGCTATGTTGTCGAAAATAGCAGGATTTCCTTCTTTATATGGTTGAATTATATTTTGGTGTGTGTGTGTACACCACAGTTTTATTATCCATTCATGTATCCGTGGATACTTATTTTTTTTTCTTTACCTTAGCTATTTTCAGTAATACTACCATTATCATGGGAGTACAGATGTCTTTGAGTGTTGCTGATTTCATTTGGGTATACACTCAGTAGTGGGGTTGTTGGGTCATGTGGTAATTCTATTTTTAACTTTCTGAGGAGTCTGTATACTGTTTTCCATAATGGCTGCATCAATTTACACTCCCATTAACAGTATGCAAGAGTTCCTTTTCACAAATTCGGCATTTCAGATAACAGCTTTTTTTTTCAGGTGTAAAGTGATATCTTGTGGTTTTAATATATATTTTCATAATTATTAGTGATGCAGAACATTTTTCCATGTACCTGTTGACCATTTATATGTCTTCCTTGGAAAAATGTCAGTTAAGTCCTTTGCCCATTTTTTAATCAGATTATTTTTCTTGTTTGTTTGCTGTTGATTTATGTAGATTCCTTAATGCACTTTGGATATTATCTTTTTATCAAATAAATGGTTTGGAAGTACTTTTTCCTATTCTTTAGGTTGTTTTTCAACCTTGTATTGATTGTTTACTTTGTGGAGAGCAGATGGTTTTAGGTTTGATGTAGTCTCCCTCTCCTTTTCTTTTGCTTTTGTTGCTTTTGCTTTCAGTGTTATTTCCAAAAATCTTTGCCTGAACCATGTAAGAGGTTTTACCTTAAGTTTTTCTCTAGGAGATTTATGGTTTTCAATCTCACATTTAAGTCTTTGCTTTTGTATATGACGTAAGGTATGTTTAAGTTGATCCACTTTGAATTAAATTTTGTATATGATGTAAGCTAGGGACTAAGTTCATTTTTTTCACATAGATGTTCAGTTTTTCCAGCACCATTTATTGAAGAGACTATGTTACCCATTGTGTATCCTTAGTTAACTATGTATGTTTGAATTTATTTCTGTGCTCACTATTGTGTTTCACTGGTCTCTGTGTCTCTTTTTGTGCCACCACCATGCTATTTTGATTGCTGTAGTTTTGTAATATAATTTGATATTAGAAAGTATGATATTTCTATCTTTGTTCTTTGTCAAGATTTCTTTGGGTATTTAGGGTCTTTAGTGATTCTATTTGAGGTTTGCAATTGTTTTTTCTTTATTATGTTGAGGTATGTTCTTTGTATACCTAATTTGTTGAGTTTTTATTATAAAGCGATGTTGAGTTTTATCAA